GGGTTTGAACCACCAGTCTTCTGGGTAGCAGTCAAATGCCTTAGGCACTACACGACCAGAGTTCCTATACAATGAAGCTTAGGACAATACTATACGGTTTTGAAGTAGGCTGGGTTTGGGTTTGAAATCCCATTTAGGTATGTGACTCTGAACAATGATAAAACAACAAACAAAGATTACAGAACTAACATCCTTTGAGCACTCAATGTCTGACTGAAGCTGAGCACTTCATACAGCTCACTCAATCCTCACAATGACCCGGTGACAAAAGGCAGCTGATGTCCAGAGGGCTGAGTAACAAGACCACATGCTTATTGGTGTCAGATTTTACTCAATTCTGAAAAGCCTCTTTCTTTTTTTCATATATTTATTTTTTAATCTCTAAATGGAGATAAATTTTCCTATAAGGATTAACTGAGATTACAAAGGTACAATGGTTTATACTTAATTAATGGTAGCTGCTTTGAAAAAATATAATAATTAGATCAGCTCTCACACTCTCCAAACTGCTGGTTTCAGAGGCCTTAAAAAAAAAAAAAAAAAAAACCTCACTGCCGTTGAGTCAGATCCAACTCATAGCGACCTCTCCTTGGGTTTCTGAGGCAGTATCACTATGGAAGTAGATCGCCCCACCTGTCTTCCGAGGAAAGGCTAGTGGGTTTGAACCACCAGCCTTCTGGTTAGCTGTCAAATGCCTTAGGCACTATACCAGCAGAGGCCTTGGGCGGGGGGGGGACTCACTGCCATCGAGTTGGATCCAACTCATAGTGACCCCTCCTTGGGTTTCCGAGGCAGTGTCACTACGGAAATAGATTGCCCAGTCTTCCTTTTGAGGAGTGGCTGATGGGTTTGAATCACCAGCCTTCTGTTTAGGAATCAAATGTCTTAGGCAGTATGCTACCAGAGCTCCTTAGAGCCCACAGCATTTCAGTCAGATCTTGAGGTCAGCAGGAGCCTGGCTTGGAATATTTCATGGCATTCATTGACCAGGCCTGGTGTTTCTGGAGTCTTGGGTTGGACCAGAGCTCTGAAGTTGAAGTTGCCAGCTAGGGAGGGAGTACATTGTGACTAAAGGGCTCAGAGCAGATGCGGCTTAAGGACTGACAGCTGGTGGGTACAGACAGGACCTTAGAGGACCAGGGGACAGGATATTCTGGGTGCTCACTGCCTGGTCATCAAGTTCTAGGACTTTCAAGTTGGTGATTTCTCACAAAGCACATCCAAGGCTGGGTTTTAGTTATCCACTTACCTGTGAGCTTCATTAGTGGACTCTGAACTTCACAAGGACAATGCCAGTCACATCTCCTAGCACAGTGCACAGCACCTAAGAGTTGCTGACTTAATGAGACAGATTCTGAAATGTGACCTTAGGCAAATCACCTGTCCTGTCTGACCTAGAGTTATGGTAGCTAAAGAATGACTTGGGGGCAGGGTGTCAATTAGCTAAGAGCCGCTCTTTTTTGAGCACAAGCAATATGCCAGGCATTTCACATGTATTTTCATAAGTGACAATTAGTCCCCTCAACAACTTTTCAAGTCGGTGTCAGTAGCTCTGTCTTACTAAAGAGGCAACAAGGTAATAGTCATTATCTAGAACTGGGGTACAAACCCAGGGTCATCCATCAGACTCACAATATGCTGCAAACCATCACTCAAAGACTGTGCCCGCATTTCATGACACCAGCTATCCTTTTATTTTATTGATTAGGATTTGCTATAAGAGAGAAGGTGATGATAGTACTTGGGAAGTCATGGAATACAGTGCAAATCATTGCTGTTACTATGACCACAGAGTGTGTGCCTGTCAAGACAAAGGCTCTTGGATGAACTGTTCTGAGCAGCAGTGGTGGAGAAGAGTGAGTGTCTGCCATGTTGGAGACTCGGTGTGGCCTGTTACCTGAGATGGGGAGGGGGTCCCTCTGAACGAGGGCCTGCAATCTTTGACCTTTCTCCTGCCCCTGTATTGTAGGTGGGGAATATGGGAGAGTTGCTGTCAGGTCTTTTTTTCCCAGCCGTAAGACCTAAGGCACTTGACAGCTAACCAGAAGGCTGGTAGTTCAAACTTCTTCAGGAGGAAGTTTGGGCAATCTATTTCCACAGTGATACGACCTCAGAAACCCAAGGAGGGGTCGCTATGAGTCGGGTCTGACTCCACGGCACATAACAACAACAACAACAACAACAACAAGACCTGACTTACATCCACTTTTCTGGTAGATGGTGGTGGTGGTGGGGGGGGGATATTTAGTACCCTGGTTGCTGAAAACCATAGTTATTAACCAAACTTTCAATTTGAAACTGTTCTTATTTTTATATTGATGTTTCCCCAATCACAGAAGAAAGCTCATAGTACTCCTGAAAGTCTGGGGACGAAACCCAGACATGCCAAACAAAACAAAAACAAAAAACAAAACAAAAACAAAAAACCTCTTTTTCTCTTAAAAACCAAACCTGTGTTTGCCTGAATGTCTTTCTTTAAAAAAAAAAAAGTTTAAATTACTTAACAGTTAAATTAATTACCACGTAACAGTTTACCAGAATGTGGTGAAAAACGTGAAAATGTTCATGACAGATCAGTAAGTAAGCACAAATAAGCCTGTGCTTACTTTGCTTGTTAGGTAACTGTGCTAGTTACGTTTGTGTGTCACCTTGGGTGGGCCTGGTTAAGTGGCTGGGCAGCTGGATGTAGTATTCCCCATGATGAGACTGGTAATCAATTCCATGGTAGAATCTACTGTTAGTAATTGAATAGCTGCCTTAGGGCCGTGGTCTACTTCCTGTATATAATGAGAAGGCTTGGGGAACAGTCTCTACTTTATAGCATGCTTGAACCCTGCATGTAGCCATGTTGTTGTTCAGCAGCCTGCCATGCTCTGCCGATCTTGGGACTTTTAATGGACTTGAATTAATGGCCTGCTGTGTGGTATGGCAATATTGGGACTGTACCTTATTATGTGTCAACATTGGGCTTGTCAGCCTCAGCAGCCAGCAGCTGAGTGAAGAAAAGTCTCCAGTTTCAATGGGCCAGAAGCAGGAGGCAGAGCTGAAGCCCAAGGTTGAGGGGCTTTCACCCAGCCCCTAGAACCTGGCACTTTGAACTCAAACTTAAAACCTCCAAACTGTAAGAGAATAAACTCTTTTGTTAAAGCATCCCATTTGTGGTATCTTTTGTTAGAGTGGCACTAGGTAATCAGAGCAGTAACCTCCCCTGCAGATGTACCACATGCACAACCACTACCTGTCTCCTGGCTTGCGTGTTACTATGGTGATGAACAGTTTCAGCAGAGCTTCTAGACTAAGATGGACTAGGAAGACAGGTTTGGTGTTCCACTTCCAAAAATCAGCCAGTGAAAGCCCTGTGGATCATAATGGCCCACTCCACAACTGGTCATGGGATTGCACAGGAGTGGGCTGGGTTTAGTTCTGTTATCCCACTGGGTGCCATGAGTTGGGACCTGACTCAGTGGTTGGCATTTAACAACCACCATGTAGGAATATTAAGAATGTGAGGTGGTTTAATGGAACTAAAGAGTTTTGGTTGCTGAAAGTGAGGATGACTCGAAGCACTTACTGATGAAGATTGAAGACTACAGTCTGCAGTATGGATTATACCTCAGTATAAAGAAAACAAAAATACT